TTTTCCAGGAATAAGTTCCCAAATGTTCTTTTGTTCAAGATACGTTCCCAAATGATCTTTTTTTCAAGAATAAGTTCCCGAATGATCTATTTTTCTTAAGAATAGGACCTAAATGCTCTTTTTTCCAAGAATAAGTTTCCAAATGCTTTTTTCTCTAGAATAAGTTCCCAAATGATCTATTTTCCCCAAGATCAAGTTTCAAATGATCTATTTTTCAAAGAATAAGTAAGTACCCAAATGATCTTTTTCCTCCAAGAATAAGTCCTAAATGACTTTTTTCCTGAAGTGTAAGTTCCTAACTGATGAAGGAAGCAAGGGGAGTAAGGGCGGCTAGATAGGGGTAAGATAGTATATTCGCCGAAGTGCGAAAAAGTATTGTTTACCCCCTATATTAATATAAAACAAATGTACCCCCTCTTTTGCTAAAAAGTTCTATTTACCCCATTAATCCTTCTAAAATTACAATTTCTTTTACCTTTGACTACAGGGTATGAAAAATGTCCTAATAATTAATCCACTTATTTATCTAATAACGATAAGAAATATATTTTTAATTCAATTTTATACACTAACATTATGCATATCATATTAAATTCTAATGAAGGGAAGATTATTGTTTATTACCTGATGTCATTATTGATCTTTTAGTAATTGATGCTTTTTGAATGATGCTAATTTTTCTTGCAGGAGACTACAAGTAGTTTCTATGTTTAGATGGCAGAAAGTAAAAAAAGAAAGTTTTGTTCAGAAAAAAAATAAAAAAAAATATCCTTCCTTCTTCCAATCTACGTTAATTTAGTTTACTTGGGCCAGGGAATAGGAATAAAGGGAAAGGAAATGGCGCTTGTCTGGCATGAGAAAGCCAGTCGCACTGTATTCCTTACACACACTCTTTTGGTACAGACCTGCACAACATGACTACAGTCAAGGAAATTGCAGAACAATGTCATCAATTATAATTATAAAACTTGAATAACGAGTAGTTTATTGTAAACTTTAATCAAATTATATTCTTTGCAATACAAATTGGCTTTATAGTTTTGACTTAAAAATATGTAAATAATATATTACATGTATTAAACTTATTTTTAAGTAAACAATTAACAATAAACAAAATTAAATCCATATTTCCTGTGTATTAATATTCAATAATGTTCAAATACTGTATAGTGTATACATGCAAGAATATAATTTTAGAAAAATGGTAATTAACGCAATTAGTATTAAACAGTTTTATAATTAAAGATATGAAGAAACTTTTCTGATCAAATATCAATGTTTGTAATTTTGAAAACTGATTATTTTCAATAGGAGTTTCGCTATATAAGTGACCTCCTTATTTCTATTGCAGTGAAACATGTGGGAATTATCAGAATTAAACATGGTTAACATATATTAGAATCACGTCAGGTGTAAGGATTGTCAATTAGTAAAAATTTGGAATTAAAACAGAAGNCGCGTACAGTAGGCCGTACAGTCCCTTTAACAGGTAGTTCGTGAGAAAAATGTATTTGTTAAAATCTTATTTTGAAAGCAAACAACAGTGTTCACATATTTAAGTTCTTGTATTTAAATAGTAATTAGAGAAGAAAAAAGGGTGCAAAGTAATACATGTAACTTTTATTTAGAATAATTATTTGTACAATATTAGGTTTTCAGTTGTATAGTCAAAAGTAAAGGTTTAATTTAATTGATATGTTGGACTACTGGTTTGACTTTGCAACCTAATAAATATGCCCCAATTTTCATCTGAAATCTAAGTAGGAAAATAATTTGGCACGGAACCGAAGTTTAAAAAACATAGATTTGTTAAACTATAGGTTCTGAACACTTTCTTTTATTCAAATCTTGATACCTTTGCAACCAGATGTCGTAGACCTTCAAAATATTAATTTTGATAAATTTATTATATATGATATATATATCACAGGTTTACATCGTCTGGTTGCAAAGATATAGTATATAGAGAATTAATTTTTTTTTTGATAATTTTTGAAAATAGAAAATACATTCTCGGCCGAAATTTGAACTTTTACGAGTTTGACGCGAAAGAACAGATTTTAACTAAAAGTGCATTGACATGACTCACCCTGCAGTAAATTGAAACATTTGTCTATATTTATACCTTTTATGATACATGTGTGCTTTCAGATATTCAGGTCAACAAGAGAGGCTGAAGTGTCTTGAACCAGTCTAAAGGGCATTCTCTTTTAAAACGAACAGAAAAACTACGTTTTTTGATTAAAATTTAATTTTTCAAAACTATAAACATTCGTTTTTAGAAAAAAGGAAGGATTAAAATTAGCGAACTGTGGTATTTAACTTCTGAAAAACGAAACGAGGATATGTTAGTTTTTCAAAAAAAGATGGTTTTTGAAAATAAAATTAATTTTTTTTTAAATTTCTGTAGTAAAAGAAGTTTTTAAATGCCATGATTTTATAGTTGTTTTTCACGTTTAATTGTGACTGCTAATCCGGATTCATTTGGTCAATTTACATTTGGTCATCATGCATTTGGTCAATTTTACATTTTATCAACCTTACATTTGGTCAATTACTACATTTAGTCAACTGTTATCAAGTTGACCAAATGTAAATTGACCAAATCTCTCCACTCCGCTAATCCGACATAGGGGAAAAAATGTATTAATTCATGATGTAGGTTAGGTAGGTTAAGCCAAGTAGATGGAGTTGGATGGGGACAAGGCGTGGTTGTAGTGGGGAGTCGATTTGAATAGAGAGATTGAAGTTTGCAACAGCTGGAGCGGAGACCACCGGAGGAAAATTTTTTTTTATTCAATTGGAGGGATGGTAATTTAAACTGAGGACACTAATTACTTCATCTGAGGGATGATATTTAACACTCAGGACACTAGTTATTCCATCGGAGGGATGATAATTAACACTCAGGACACTAGTTATTTCATCGGAGGGATGATAATTAACACTCAGGACAATAGTTATTCCATCGGAGGGATGGTAATTACACACAAGAACACTAATTGCTCCACATATTATATGGTAATCAACTCACAGAATACTAATTTCTCCACCGGTGGGATGCTAATTAACACTCATAACACTTATTACTCCATCGGATGGATGTTAATTAACACTCAGTATCCAACCTCCGGTGGAGTAATTAGTGAGCTGAGTGTAAATTACCATTCCTCCGATGGAGTTATAAGCATTCAATAAAAAATGTCTATTCTCTCCGTTGGAAATAAGCTGAGGAGACCGAATATGCTCTTGCAAACTTCAATCTCTCATTTAAATCCATAAAATCGCGTGGAGAGAAAAAAATACGCGGTAATTAGTAAGCACGATCGTTAAGGATCAGAAAATAAAGTTGATTTTGGAAAATATGCAAGATTTGAGACTGAAATAAATTGATCTTTTGATTAATAAGCTTTGCCGACTGATTCTTTATTTAACTATGATTCATACTACTCTCTTCTATTTTACACGAACACTCCCCTTAAGTTCCTCCAGTACAAGATTAAACAATTGTTAAGCTGGAGTAATTAACTCAATTAACGAATTTTAATCAAACAATTTTATTACATTTGACTCGTTATATTTAAGACAAGTGTATAAAATAAATACGTAGAAAAATATCATGAAATAAGGAAATATCAAGTAAAAATAAAATTTTAAAATAGAAAAGTATGCATAAAACTTAGAAGAAATTCAAGATGAGTACAACTTAGGAAGAATATTTTGAAGATTATGCATTAAAAAAAACTGCAGAATCTTTTTTTTAGAGCTGTTTACATATGGTTATTGAACTTTTTTAAAACCTGAGAGAGAGAAATTTGGGCTTTCAAAATCAGTCCACAATTTTTTATTATATTTTCCATGAAAAAGCTAAGATTCAGCCGTAAAAAACTCTAAAAAGAGTTTAGGACACAATACTTATAGCTAACGAGAGTGGAATAAGATCAGAAAAAGCTGGATCTGTCAAAATAAAACCATAAAAGCTGGAAACTATCAGAATGCTACAGCCCAAAATAAAAAATGAAATATAAAATTGAAAAAAATGCGAAAAATTAAAGTTGATTCAGGATTTTTTCAAACATTTTTCTTATTCCGATATAAAGTAATGGCCAGCATAAATCAAAATATTCGTTATTTTCGTTTAGCCTTAATTGCTTCAAATTACAAATCGTTGTATTTCTAGTTTGAAGACTGAACGAAGAGGTCAATCAATCTGTTCTAACTTCTTGTCATTGCAGTACACTTTAAACATTGCAGTACACTTTAAACATTGCAGTACACTTTAAACATTGCAGTACACTTTAAATATTGCAGTACACTTTAAACATTACAGTACACTTTAAACATTGCAGTACACTTTAAACATTGCAGTACACTTTAAACATTGCAGTACACTTTAAACATTGCAGTACACTTTAACATTGCAGTACACTTTAAACATTACAGTATACTTTAAACATTGCAGCACACTTTAAACATTGCAGTACACTTTAAATATTAGAGTACACTTTAAACATTGCAGTACACTTTAAACATTGCAGTACACTTCAAACATTGTTTTACACTTTAAACATTGCAGTACACTTTAAACATTGCAGTACAATTCAAACATCGCAGTACTCCCGAGTTTCCTTTTTGGGATCCTAACATTTGTGTAGATTTTGATTTAAGAGATACGAAAAAAATAAAAATTATAAACAAACTGAAAAAAAAATATTTCATTACAAAAATATTGATATTCACAAAACTGCCTACCCCCATTCGTGATACCCGGGTTTTAAAACTGGTTTTCATAACGATACCCTGTCTTAAGTTTTGGGCTCTGCAGTATGGAAACAGTACAACAAAATGGCCGATTTACACTTTTTTCCATTAAATTCCTCTCTATATATTCTATTCTCTATGGGTAAAATATAGATATTAAGAATTCTTTTTTAGTGCATTCAACACTCTGATATAAATATGAAAAATGAAGATCTTTTGGTATCTTGAAATCAATTAAATTAAATGTTGTTCTTTCGTTATTTATTAACTTAAACTTAAATTACACAAAACATAAATATTTATTAACGAATTATCATACTGTACAAAATATCAAACTCAATGAGTTAATTAAAATTAATTAATTACTTTTTGGACAAATCTAGAACACTTTCTGGGCCCGGGGACACAGGGGGACTATCAGTAGAGATGGGACTGGAGGGACTAGGAGGATACATTGGACTGGACGGACAGGGACGATGCCAGTCCATGGTGTCCGCTTCAGTTAGCATCAGTCCAGGGACGAAAGGGTTTAACTGGAAAAAGTTTGGTTTCGTCTCGAAGGGAAACTGGTTTGGTTTGGTTTGAAACTGGTTTGGTTTGGATTGAAATTGGTTTGGTTTGGTGTCGACGAATGGCCGAAAAAGCTCCGTCCGCTGATTCCTCCTCCATTTGGCTCGCCTGTTAGAGAACCAGACCTTTATTAATTCATTATTGATATTTATTATTAATAATTACAAAAATTTCAATGATTTTTAGAAATTTTATAATATTAATCATTATTATTAGTGTTATTATACCTGTATCCTTGGTTCAGAAAGTCCTGTAGCTTCAGCCATATGTTCCCTTGCATCTAGATCAGGGTAGTGGGACTCCTTAAACCCTGTCTCCAGTATTGAGAGTTGCTCAGTGTCGAAACTACTTTTAGATCTCTTAAACTGGATTCCTTCATCATCGGAGTAGGATTCTTCTTTGAGGGGTGGGGAGGGAGTATGGAGGGGAGAAGGGGTGTGGAGAGAGGATGGAATATGAAGAGGGCTGGAGAAGGGTGTGGAGAAAGGAAACCGGTGAGTGGGCTGGTAAAGAGCAGGAATCCAGGGAAGAGAAAACCTGGAGTAATCCCGAGCTGATCTTTCTGCTGCTCGGTTTCTGATAATCCTGTTGATGGAGCTTACACTCGGAGCTGTGCTGTTCTTACACACTCCCTCAGAGATCAATCTCTCTCTGATCTCCCAAGCGAAGATCGTCGGGTTCTCCTTCTTGTAAAACTCGATCTTGTTCACAACATCAGGGGTTGCAACTTTTGGCTTTGAACCCCCAACCATGCCGGGAACACGGCCTTGGTTTAAGTTTCCTTTATTTTGCTCCTGGTACAGAGCTGCATACCGAGCTTGTAGCTCCAGTAGCTGGCGTTGTGCCGAGAGAAGAGAATGAATGCTCGGACTTGTTTCCATGTCGGGAGGAACCTGTTGACTGAAATCTTCAGGTTTTCTACCACCAACCTTTCTCTGAGGTTCTACGGAGTGCCGGGCGGAATCATTCTACGCAGCAGCGCTGAGCTTTTCATCCTTGCTCAAGTGCTCACTCTCTCCGCTCCTATTGGCGTAAACTCATCCGTTTCATCAAACCTTACCCTCAAACCGTACACAGAGACAGACAGATAGACAGAGAGAGAGAGAGATATTGACTAGGACTGTCTGTCCAACCTGGATAAGAACGGAACTCAATAATACCTTGTGTCCGGTACAACCCGCAGCTCTATGCAAATTAAGAGCCTGAAGAATAGGATTTAAATCTGGCAGAATAGATTAGAATCGGATAGAAAATGAGGGGGGGTAGAGAGGAGGATGTGATAAAATGGAATAGAATGGATAGAATTGAACAGGAGAGGGTTTTGATGAGATCTTTTGTGTGTTTGAATTGAGTTCCTTTGCTCTATTGAATCCTAGGAACTATGCCGACTTGAAATTCTTGAGGACTAAACCTGACTTTAGCTCACAACAATCCAGGGAATTATATTTTCAACAAATTTTATAAAAATTTCTCCTTCCTTTTATAACAATCTGTTTATGTTTTATGGATGGAAATTAAAGCAAAATCTCTCTCCCGTATTCTCCACTTAAAGAACACACCTAAATCTTCACAAACAAATTGTGTTCTAGGACTTTTTATGCATACTTTTGTATTTCAGTTGTATTTCTCTCAAATACAGAGGTGGCTTTATAAACCTTTTCTAATCATTTATGGTACAGCTTTGTGACCTCGTAGCTTCTCTAGTTTTGAGTAAACGCACGCATTTTACCCGGCAAAACATTTCTTTTTTCTCAATTGCTCTTGAGAAAGAGTAGTTTATGGTGAGAAAGATTTCAATCGTTAGTTCTGTTTATCTTTAGTATGACGTGGGGGGNTCTTATATATGTATATATCTCTTATATATGTATATATCTCTTATATATGTATATATCTCTTATATATGTATATATCTCTTGTATATGTATATATCTCTTATATATGTATATATCTCTTGTAAGATCTTTTAAATTTTATTCCAGAATTGCAGAGATGGAAAAATGCATTTTTAGTGTTTTTGTCTGATAAGATCCTATTCTTTATCAAGAAAGTGCTCCAGGCTTTAAAGAATCATGGTACAAGCGCGCGCCTTTGTGCAATTATATTATATTTGGATGATTAAAGAAATTGAAAGAATTGTAATTTCAGGAGTGATCGAACATTTAAACAGGGAAAGGCTTTCAGGGATATCCCGTATCATTGTGAATCGAATATCCCTTTAAATCTGTAAACGTAATGAAATTGAGTCCACAATCTCTACTTCTTATGATCTGATCTGAGATCCTGTCTGATGATCCAAGTTTTTTTTTGAGACAGACAGACTGGGAAAATATATTAGGTGAAAATCAAAAGTTTAAAAAAATTTAAATTTAAGAAAAAATAATGAGATATTTAAAGAAATGGAAAAAATATAAAAAAAGACAGGACAGCGAGATTGGAAATCCGAAAGAGATAAAAGTCTGTCTTAGGGGGGGGTCTCCCCCCTATGATTTTTCCTTAGAGTTGAGATAGGGGAGTGTGATACATGTAATTCTTAAAATGAAATTATACCTCTAACTTTAATGGCTAGGGTGCAAATGAGGATTATGAAAAGTTCAAAAAGTACGTTAAAAAAATGTTCAAAAATAGTTATTCTGAATTTTTGCAAATATTTACATGTGAAACATGTTATCACATCTATTTTTCAATGGGCTTTTCAAATATATAAATATAATTGAGAGATGAACAAAAAGGAGAAACGAGATTGTTAAATGTTGATTTTTTGAAATTTTAATTGATATAAACAAAATGATCCAGCTTTTACAAATTTTATGAATTATCAAAATGAAATAATTTGCAAAATCTACTTGTAACAATTAAATAGATAAATATATTTTAACCTAGACAATTGATGAAAAATCAATCTGGAAAGATAGAAACTCGAAAAAAGGTAATAACTATGGATAGGTTTTTTTGCAGTAAAATTTTGCTTCATTCGAATTTAAAGGGACTGTAAGACCCGTTTTTTCAGGTGACCCTGCATGGAAAGAATTGTATGTCTGATTGACAACGGTACTGTTAAAACCTGTATCCGAATAACAAGGAGGAATTCATTGTCAGTTTTCTATCTTGACAAGTGTTGAATTTTGACATTATCCTTCCATTGGCCCTGCTCCTAGAAATCCGCAAGACACTTTTACAGAGAAACCACGATTGAAACAACCCAGTTTTACATTGAAAAATAGGATATATCATTCATTATTGATCATACAAATCAGATTAAAGGACCGTTGTGAAGAGAAGGTCACTTAAAATAACGTTGTTAGTCCCTTTAATGACTTTAAAAACATAAATATTAGAATGAATAAAATGAAGAACAGATATATTGAAAACTTTTAATAGTTTCCGACAAAGGAGACTACTGCACACATTTTCTTATATTTTAATTTTAACTTCTTGGAAATTAAAGTGTTTGTGCAAATTTTCTATTATTATTTTTGAGTTGTTTATGCATGTATACACAATGAAATCAAAAGTTAATAAATTTTTTTCAAATAATCTCAACTTTTGTATGTTTTTTATTTATTTTAAACGCTTGATCAGGATCTCGATATCTAATGTGCGTGAAGGATCAATGCTTGATCAGGAGCTCGATATCTAATGTGCGTGAAGGATCAATGCTTGATCCTTGAATTAGATTTATTCCTACAGGGTAAAACCCACCACAGTGTATCGAAGAAATACTAAATTATTCCGTAAATTACTAACTTCAGGTCACATTAAAAATAAATTAGTTTTCATCATTTTCACTTTCTTTAATTTACCAAATATTTTGGGTTTAATTAAATAGAATAAAAGTTTGCAAAAACAGTTTGCGGAAAAGATTTCTAAATTCGATTTAAAGGACTGAAAAGAATCGAAACCTTTTAGTAAAATTGTTTCTAAAAATTTTCATTTCTGTGGTTTCTCCAACCCCTTAAAACCCCAGTTTCTCTCAAAGCTTATTTTAAGGGAAGCAAATTCCTGAGCCTATTAGACAAAAATCTAGCTTTACAATAAAACATATAATTAGTGGGCTTTGTATACATGGTTTCAGTTTACCTACCCTCTCCCTTCACAGCAACACACAACCAGTAATGGTGGACACCTAGATTTCACCGAAATTTTATTGATTTTTTTAATCAATGATAACATTGAACGGTTGCTTATTTCTTCCCAGTCTGGTGCTAAAAATAGGTAGATTACTAAATGCACACCTGGTTCTAGATTTAGGTAGATTCCTGAAGTGGAGCCCATGAGAACTAGGTTATAAGTCGGAGACCCGGGTTACAATGTTCTTTTAATTGAGAATTTGATATAAAAGATGTCTATTCATAAACAACCATGCAATCCTTTATCAGCCGAACACAGGGTCACGTGGGGTTAAAGGGTCAGATCACAAAACCCGGGGGGTTTGGTTAAAGGGTAAATAGATAATGCACTGTACATGAAAGAACGAAATTAAGCAAAAGAAAAATTTTAAAAGATTTTTTTTATTCAAGTTCCAACTATTCTCTGAAAACGTTGAAACTTTCTACTTTCTACCTGGGAGCATCATATCTCTCCTGCAAATCTCCTATACATTCTGAACCTTCTACCTTCCGTGAACAATATCTCCAAGACACCTCCTACTATCAACCTTCGAAATCCTGGAACCTATGTTCCTCTTTTCTCCTGGGAACCTTCTTCTCTCAATCTTCTACCTCCTGGGAACGTCATATCTCTTGGAAACCTCCTATTCTGAAATATCTATCTCCTGGGAACCTCCTATTCTGTATTTTCTACCTCCTTGAAACATCATATATTTCCTGTATACCTCCTCTTCTCTACTTTTTATCTCCAGGAAACATCATATCTCCAAGGAACCTCTTACTCTCAACCTTCTACCTCCTTGGAACAATATCTCCTAAAAACCTCTTACTCTCTAGCTACCTTTTACCTCCTGGAAACCTCCTGGCTCCGTATACATCCTAGAACCCCTGTTCCTCCTACCTTCTCGAAACTTCCAACATGTAGGAACCAATACCTTTGGAAAACCTCCTTCCTTCCAGCTCCTAGGAACCTTCTACTTCCAGTAAACCTCTCATTTTCTAGAACCTCCTAGATGATTGGAACCTCATATAAACCTCCTACCACCTCCAACTTCTGGGAACCTCATATTAACCTCCGACCACCTCTAGCTCCTGGGAACCTCCTATACACCTCCTACCATTTCTAGCTCCTGGGAACCTCCTATAAACCTCCTACCACCTGTAGTTCCTGCGAACCTCCTATAAACCTCCTACCACCTCCAGCTTCTTTGAACCCATATTAAACTCCTACCACCTCTAGCTCCTGGAAACCTCCTATACACCTCCTACCACCTCTAGCTCCTGGGAACCTCCTATAAACCTCCCTCCACCTCTAGCTCCTGGAAACCTCCTATAAACCTTCCTCCACCTCTAGCTCCTGGGAACCTCCTATAAACCTCCCTCCACCTCTAGCTCCTGGGAACCTCCTATAAACCTTCCCCCACCTCTGGCTCCTGGGAACCACATATACACCTCCTACCACCTCTAGCTCCTGGGAACCTCCAATAAATCTTCTACCACCTCTAGCTACTGGGAACCTCCTATAAATCTCCTACCACCTCTAGCTCCTGAAATGAATACTGCTGAATCACTGAAGATAATGCTTGCACCCCGTCATCCTTGTAATGAGGTGATAATATATAGACAATAGAGTAGATGATTCTTCCAATCCTCTTAAATCCAGGCCCCCTCGACCCCCCCCCCCTCCACTCTTCCCCTTTCGTTGCCCCCCTGATCCTTCCCCTTCCCCTTTTCCTACCTTTCCCCCTTTCCCTTTCTTCCTCCTTATCCAATCTTCTCCAATCATTCCCCTTTTCCTTTTCTCCCTTCCCCCTTTTCCTTTCTATTCCCCTGTTTTCTACAAATAAACATTCTCTTTCTTTCACCCCCTTCCTTCTCCTTTCTTTTACCTTACATTTTTCTCCCTTCCCTTCCCCTTTCTCTCCTCTTTTAAATTATCAATTCCTTTCCTCCCTTCTATTTTCTAAATTCTCTATTTTACTTTTTGTCTTTCTTTTCCATTTCCACACTTTACATTATTTTCTTCATCCCCTTTCTAGTTTAACTAATCTCCACCTTGTTGCTATAATATACATATACATGTAAACAATATATTAATAGTTGAACATTTTTTGCCTGTAACATTGTAACTGTTATGTATATTTTTAGCAATAAAATATATTCTATTTACTTTATCTTATCCCCTCATCTACCATATATCTACATTATATTGCTTTCCTCCCTTCTTTCCCCACCTCTACTTTCTAAACTCTCTCTCTTACTTTTTCTCTCTGTTCCATTCCGCTACTTCACATTCCTTTTTTCCATTCTCTCTTTCCCTCCCTAGCTCATGTGCAGTAATTTATCTTCCTTTTTTCTCCATCTATTCCAACCATTCCATTTTTCTAAATATTTAACGCTTTCTCGTTTCCATTTTTCTAAATACTTAACACTTTCTCTTTTCCATTTTTCTAAATATTTAACGCTTTCTCTTTTCCATTTTTCTAAATATTTAACGCTTTCTCTTTTCCATTTCTCTAAATATTTAACGCTTTCTCTTTCCATTTCTCTAAATATTTAACGCTTTCTCTTTTCCATTTTTTCGTTGTTCTTTTCCATTAATGATACTATCTCTTTTCTATTTTTTTTCAATTTGAAAACCTAAATTTTTTTCTCACTTATTTCCGGCCTCCCTTTCCTTTTGGAGTTTGATGTTTTTTGGCCCTCTGTATCTTCTCTAAATATATTAAAATGTGGAGCAATGCTACAAAATAAAAATCTTTGACGTCTGTGGGCAAAGGTGTTTGGAATAAATAATGTCAAATTTAGCTGAATTCTCAGTTTTATGTTTATTTTGGTTGTTTGCCTAGAATCATGCAGACCTAAGCAAGTTATAGAGCAAACAAGGTCGAGGTTTAAAACATACATTTAAAACATTTTTCTGTAAAATAAAATAAAAAAGATTCTTCATAATTAAAAACTAAATAATCAATAGTAAATATAAAATTATTGCCTCTACCACCTCTTTTTAATAGGATGAAAAGTATGAGTTTATTTCATTATTTTACTTCAGACGAAAAGTCCTTTTTCGATTTATAAATGTTCGACAAAATGTTCTAGATTAATTTGTCATTTTTATCATCTCAAATACTTACTGAAACCAATCTCAGAACTGTTAAATTACAAATTTCGAAGTTATACTTATAAGAGCGTGCATTGTGAAAACTTTTGTTTATTTTTATACATGCGTATATATATATATATCTATATATATAGATCTAATTCTTAACCTGTTTCTTGCTTTTTCCCTTATAAAAATTTTAAAGTTAGAAATAATCATCATCATCATCATCAGGACGTAGACTGGACTGGTCCATTTGTAGAAATATAAAATAAAAAAATAGCAATGAAAGGAAACAATAATAAATGGAAAGTTTTTTTTTCATAACAAGGCATATAACATACAATTGAATTTTCACTGACATCAACGATTGAAAAAATGCTTACTTTAATTTATTACAATTACAATGATTTAAAAAATTGTACAAAAATTTATACAAAATTATATCATGAATTAAATTATTGCAATTATTTAAACCAATGTTATGTACAATGCTAATGTACATTGTACATAAACTGTCTATTAACAGTATCCGTCTGCTGCCTGTCCTTGAATCCAATCTAAGAACTTGGCAACCCTAGTATAAACACCAGGGAAATTTAACTCAGCACACCCGTTCATCTCTCCAGATCCAAAACCCCTGGAATAGAGATAATGAAATATAATTTTGTTAAATTCCTTTTTTTATTTAAACTTTATTTCAAGTTAATTTTCATCTATATAAGTTCTTTGATAGTCTGACTGTTTGTGTAGAATAAACGTCAAAACGGCTGAACCCATTAGGCCTAATTTACTGTGAAAAACTCACATGACCAGGAGGCTAGGGGTAGGTTTCTTGAAGATCAAATTTGAAATATTTTGACTAGGAAAAAATGTTGACGATTATTAGTTTTGAAAACAGAAATATCCTAAATGTTAGTAAGTTTGTTAGTCTTACAATAAATGGCAGCTTGAAGAGCAACAGTAATCTGCTAAAATTGTTACTGTTAAACAAGGTACGAAGTGTCCTGAAAACCTAATTTTCATAGATATTATTCATATTCATCTATAATTCAAAAATTGACCATAGTTTCATAGAAAAACATTTTTTTAAATAAAGATCTTGAATTTATTCTCAGAGTCTTGTGGTGACTTTTCTTTAAAAATTCTAAAAAGAATATTGTCCATCTCTGGCAGTTGAGCCAAAGTGCTATTGGATGTACTCTGAAAATTGTGAATGTGAATATGACAGGTTGTATTTCCATGTTACCTTAATGAGTAGTGTAATCTAAAACAGTATACCTAGAGACCACAGCCACCAGTGTAGGAACCCCATTGATCCATCTGTAAACTGGACCACCACTGTCACCATTACAGGAGTCTGATCCGGAGATATAATAACTATACGGGTATTTTCCATCATCATTGAGTCCTAAACAATATTTGTTTTTAAGAATGTCTATGGTTCTAACATGTTAGGTACTATCTTAAATGTGTAATTTCTCAAGCAGCAACTTCCTAAAGGCTAGGTTAGACCTTCTGATCTTCCTTACCACAGAAATTACACTTACAGTTCATTTAATTAAAGTATTAATTATCTTCCTTACCATAGAAATTTTGCTTACAGTCCCTTTAATTAATGTATTAATTATCTTTCTTACCATAGAAATTTTGCTTACACTCCCTTTAATTAAAGTATTAATTATCTTCCTTACCATAGAAATTTTGCTCTGTTCCAGCTAAATTATATGATTCTCCGGCTTTCTCCCAAACTTTTACAGTTGGGAAGGTTTTCTTCTTCCCAGCACACATTTCATTTTTCCCAACAAACTTGTAACTGCCTTTGGTAATAAGATCCTTGCAAACAGCCATAGGTAATACCTAAAACTACATGGTGTAGATTCATAAAGTTTTCTTGTGGCAAAAACAAGTTCAGCTACTAGGAATAAAAATGGTTTTAAAGGGACTGTAAGCATAATTTTAAGTGGCCCTCCATGCTAAGATGGCAATGCCAGGTTCAAATACAGTATCCTTGAAACCTTTATCTGATTGATAATGGGGAAGATTTTGTCGTTTTTCTCTGTTTAAAAGTGTTTAAATCTGATGATTCCTTCATGTTTTCCTGCAGAAGAAATGCGCGGGTACATTTTATAGAGAACCCACAATTGAAAATAAACAGTTCATACTTGATCTGACAAAGTTTACAGGTTACCGTTGTTAATAAGGGAATTCTCATATTTGCATTCTTCATTTTTTATTTCTGTAAATGTTACCTCTAGTCTTGTCTCCTGAAGCACTGTTGCCAATCTTTCAGTTGAATCTGAAAAAATGATATTTTAACATTTTATTGATTTAACCTAATTTAATTAAATCATCAATGGTTTTGCCTTTATGAAGTTTGCATGATGGTTGGCACCAGCCCCAGTTATCATCAAATTCATCATCTGTGTTAATACCCTAATATAAATCAATTTTATAACTTAGAACTTTTAAATGAACTAAGAAATTTAACTTTTATTTTTCATTGTTTTCTCTTCAGTAACACAATATTTCTTTTTTGAGGATTCACATTTTTTTCTTTCCTTTTTAAAATTTTATTATGAAATATTTTTGAGCATTGATAAACCATCCCTGGGGTCATATTAGGTCTTGCAAAATTTGGGCTAGATCAGCGCAGCTGTTCTGACATTTATTGGTTACAAACAAACAAACAAATAGTCAATCAAAATATATAGATGGTATCAGCTAAATTCGTTTCTCCCAGGGACTATGAGGTTTCATCGGTTTAATCTTTTCAATCTAAATTACAAAGAAAATACAATTGCTTATTTGGTAGAAAAAGTTTGATAGCTGATACATAAGCGATAAAAAACGTTTATATTTAACAAATAATCGCTTATTAGGCAGCAAAAGTTGAATATCTGCTAAATAAACCACAAAAATCATTTGTACTGAACAAAAAATCACTTATTTGGCAACAAAAGTTGTAGATAACTGCAATATAAGTGATTTTTATGATTTAGTAATTTAGTTTTGAGTGTATATCATAGCCCCTTAAGTGATGAATGACATGGAATACAAGTTAAGAGCATTGGTTTTTATGAATTTTATTCTGGGATCGAATTTGATTTATTTGATCTAGGTTGCTTTACTACCAACTGATGGTTCAAACTTGAATTACTGTTGTAAAAGGATTTGAACTGGTGGTAAGTAGTTCAGTGACATTTTGAATTCATTAAATCCGGCACTGGATTGTTCTTGATTAATTGAATATACCTGGCACCATCCATCCTCTCCCTTAGAGTAAGAATAGCATTGTATCTTTTTATCACCATCCTTTACAATAATACTAGTCCCAGGAGTTTCAGGATACTCATCCTTCATCGCTCTTAAAAAAGTTGATGCAATTTATACAATATATTTAATTGATTATTTATAACTATTTCCCTATAAATCATCCAAAGCACAGCGTTGGGCCATGGGTAGTCGTGGTTAAGTAAAATTTCTAATTTTCCCAAAAAGTACTTGTACACAATGTTATTGTCTTTTGATTTTTTCACAAAAGCTTTGCAAAGAAGGTAGTTATTTCATTTAATTGCCCTATGGGTTGGTAATGTTGGTCAAAAGGTTTTTAACAAATTATTACTTTCGGAAATCTTTGCACTGATCCACTTTAGAACTTGGACTTCTGGAGGTTGAACATCTCACATTGTCTTCCCCTTTGTAATTAAAGGGAAATTTACATTTCAAGTTTTTAACTGGACCAAACTCATCAGTTACACAATCAGCTGACATTCTACCCCATCCTGCTATATATATCTCCAGCTTACCTAAACAACATCAATTATATAAATTGGCAGGTCTAGATTTTTAAATTTGAAAGTCCATCATGCAATTAAACAAGAAAAATCTGTAAAAAAAGTCAAAAACCAAGGAAAAATATTTACAGATAAAAGAAAACAACAAAAAGAAAAAGTTCAAAAAGAGATGTAAAGCCTATGAGGTTTAAACTTTGATTTACACTTTTCTTAAATGGCTATTCTTACCCTCGCTAGTTACTGTATCAGACTTATCATCTGCAGTTGGTAAACAAATAGGTTCAAGTACATTAGGAACAAACACTATGTCTCGATCAAGTTTTACCAAAGCAATATCATATGTTAGCTAAAACATAAATATATCAATACTGAATATCAAATTTGGTTTTTTTTACATGGAATGTAAGTTTGATTTCAAATGACCCTCCATACCAAGATGGCAATGCCAGATTCACCATGGTACTTCTGGTACCCTTAATACTTCTAGTATTCTTATTATTCTTACATGCTTTTCCGCAAGTCACTTTTGAAGAGAAACCATAATTCTAAATAATCAGTTAAAAAAAATTATAAACATTAATATCTAATTTATACTTGATCAGACATAGAGTACAGTTTTGAATCTGGCATTGCCATCTTTGCATGGAGGGTTGCTTGAAAATATGCTTACTGTCCCTTTAAGTACTTAATCTTTACCTCTGCATATTGAGGATGGGATTTTATTTCTTCAATTCCATATTCATACTGGGGATTACCTGATGAAAAAATGGATTTTCAAGAACAAGACAGTTTGAGATTTATTAAATAAAAAAAAAAAAAATTTTTAAAGAGAGGTTTATTAGTTTTCCAAAAAAGGAAAAGAATCACCAACCTTTTACATCTGAGCTATCTATTTTGACAGGATTTTTGTTGATGCCAAGATATGCTAAACAATTTAAATTAGTTATATATTACACGAATATGGATGAATTAAAAGCAGTCATTAGGATCCGCAACATTTTGGCTTCATGGATCCTGATCCACAAAAATATATGGATACAGTAAATATCCAGGATCTGGATCTGGGTCTGGATCATTGTCAAGATGAAATGAATCATAAGCACTGATTAAAATTACTTAAAGTTACCTTTGAATTCTGCTTTAGCATCATATTGAGGTTTCCCCTCAATGCATTTTAAAGAGTGGCAGACACAATGTGCAGCAGTCAGCAAGTACCTTTAATATATCAATTTAACGGCCTGAAAATTTTGAAGCATTAAAATTTATATTTGTTAATTTTTTCCAACATTAAAAAACTATTGGCAAAATTTGAATTATCAGCAAAATTCTAATTCTTTCGAACTCCCCATCTGCAAGCTTATCAGTCATAAGAGACACTTAAATTTTCATTGGAGTCTTCCAGATTTGCATTGAGGACACCAAGATTACCATTGGAGACCCTCATATATTTATTGGAGATCCCAACATTTTCATAGCAGACCCCTTTGAGCTTGGAGTCTCATCTTGGGGCTCCAGTTAAAAGTGTCACTCTTCAATGAATATGTGGGAGTATCTATAAATGAGATAGGATTCTAAAGATGATGATTTCTTCTGACAAAATCAATTTTTTGTAAGCGTCATCAGACTAATGCAACGCAAGAGGGAAAATGACCTGGTATTCTTTAAACATAAAAATGTTATTAGCTTATTTACCTTTTATTGATTACTGTTGCTCCACAAAGTTCTTGAGACTTGACAACCCAGAGCTTAGCAATCCAGGGTTTGTTTTTACTCACATCATATCCACCAACTATTCTGTAGTCAGTACTAGCTAAACATAGGTAGATTAGTGCAAACTTATAACAAGCAAAAATTGTTTACCATAGGTAATATTTTTAAACATGTAAGGGCATTATCTATTATTAATTTATGACACAAATCTTCCGTCTGGACCATACATTGTTCTGAACTTTTTTTCTCTTTTGAAGAACAAAATAAATTTTTGATTCCTGTAGATATATTTTAACTCATTTTTAAATACACTCCTACTTTTCATAATGTGCGTACATATATCTTTTAAAAGAGATTTTTTGTCCCCAGGACATGATTGGGTTGTTACGTTCAAATCTCAGAATTTTTTTATAGTGAAAGTTTGGTGTTGTCTGGGTTTATATTGATCTACCAGGGATGGTAATCTGGCAGCACATTCCTCCATCCATGCTTCATTCATACTGAGAAGAGGGTCCACAAGATTTCAGCTGCCTAAGGGCTTCTTAGGCCTGATAATAATAGAATGTAGGAATTCTTCTGATATACTGAATTGAGGCCTGGGTGCCATATAGATAGGAAACATCACACTCATTGCTTCCTTTGGTGTGTAAGACCGGATTGGATACCCCCAGGTACCTATAGCTGGCAACCGTAGACTCTCCCAGCTTGTCAACCATTTCTCTCTTCTTCATCATTCACTTGGATCAATCCATATAAAGTTTCTTTTCTGTTGAGTAGAAAGCATGCACCCTTTTGCTGCGAGAGTTGTTGACAGCCGCCCCTCCGTCCTTCTACATCCGTCTTAATCAGATGTCAGCTTCAGATGTTTTTTGAAATCACAAGTTTGTTTGGAATACAGGAAATAAACCTGTGAACACCAATCTAAACACAAATCCAGTTACTAGCTGTGCTCAACTTTAGTGATCTAACAAGAAATGGTGTCACACACTCTACACCTCACCCCATTACTCTACCCCATAACCTATCCCAGAAAAATGGCAATTATGGTTAAAGTTGGGGGTTGGCCTACAGATTACAGACATAAAATCACAATAAAATTCCAACATTTTCAGCATTAACACATGAACATACTTACATCCACTTGAAGCTATGGATTCACTTAATTCATTCTCTGAACTAGTTGAATTTGTTTCAGTTGTAGAATTAGTTTCACTACGTTTAAAGCGTCTTCTTCCTCTTGCTTCAAATTCTGCATTAATTTCAGGCTAAACAACATCAGCTGATTTGTAATTTTAATACTGCTTCAACTAATTGTAATTAAATCCATAATGTGTTTTTTTTCTCAATTTATCTATTAATATCATCATTTGTTTGAAAAAACAAAATAAACTCACTTGAGCCATTGAACATTGACACATTTGCTTTGTCAACTCGTTTTCAGCCATTACACTAAAAACATACTGAATAGAAAATAATTTTCGAAAATTAAATAATACATTTTTTCACCCTAAATTAATGTTAATAAAGCAATAAACTTGGTCTTAGAAAGCTGTAAAAAGTCTCTTATTCATAAACTTTAAAATGTCAAACAAACATTAAAAATTAAAGATTTCTTGGGATCCTTTGCTCAAATTACTAACCTTGAAAACATTGAAAGATTGAGTAAAAAACAAATGAAATGAATCCAAGCATCAAACTTCATTTTAGTTTTAAATCTGATGATATTGTTGTGGTGTAGAGTTTCCGTTTTTAACTAAATGCTTCAATATAACAATTAGTAGGGTGTATACTTGATTTACATGTGTAGTACAAGCATTTTTTTAAAATTTGGTATATCATCATTTTTAATGTATTTGGTTGTTTTTTAATTTTAGGGATTCTATTAAAGGGAATGTTTGCAAAAATGAAAGGGGGCAAAGGCTTACACCAAATTATATTCAATGGTGATTGCTACTATTCTTACTTCTATCTGTTATGTCTATAAGGAGAAAATTGTTAAAAACACTCATACCGAAGAACGTAGCGTCAATACAAATTTAAAAGTTGCAATATTCAACTCGGATCGTAAAAAAATCGATTTTATTCCAAACATATCATTCAGAAATTACAACCATTTTTCATGACATTGCATTCATATATAGTTGATTTTTTAAAGTCAGTGAATCAATAATTTGTGAACTTGGGAATCTAAATAAGGTGGCTTTTTTAAATGAAGTTTAAAGATAAAAAAATTAATTTTCCGTTAAATTTTAACTTTTAGCCCTTTGAAATTTGTGAACATCAAAGAGGAATTAGTTTACTGATAATAGGGCAATTTTAAATGGCTTTTTAAAGAGTCTTTTAGATAAATATGACATTTATCTGAATTAACTTTGTTGTGTAACTTGATCTTCAAAACAAAATAAAAAATTAGGCTTTTGGAATGATTAACCATGTAAATGAGCTTAAATGAATTGAACACTTAAATTTTAAATCTTTCAAACATTAAGGGGTTTGGCTTGCAGGATTGAGACTCCAAAAAAAACCTGAGAAGTTTACGATATTTCAAAAGTGTGTGCTTTTTAAAGATGCTAAATTATTATCTAACATTTATTCTCAATTATATCTTCTGTCAGAGTGATCTTTTTGGCACAATATTATAAAAGCATATTTTAAAAAACTAAAGTTTTAATTAATGTTAGATTGTGTAAGATTTTATTGAGACTCCTAAAAGCCAAAAAACCATAAATGTTTAGAAAACACTATTCAAGGCAACTTGTACCATTCAAAATAAAACACCACAGCAAATTTAAAATGCTTACAACTGTGATATTGATAGTTGTCCACTGTACAGTCATTTAAAATCATAGAGAACATTAAGAACAAAAAATATCCAAAGTTTTTTTTAAAGAAATTTATCACATTGATTTTAACCATATCTGGTAATTTTTACAGTTAAAGGGACTGTCAGCATAATTTCAAGTGACCAGATCCGTGCAAAGATGCCAATTTCTGACTTAAACCCTTAAACTTTAATCTAAAGAAACTGTAGTTTCTATTTCTGATAATTTCCCCATTTCTTCTTATAAGTATAGGAAATGTGCAAATGACTTTTACAGAGAAATGAAAATAAACAGTTTAAATAGACAAAACATGGATATCTTATTCAAACTTGTACATCAGGCATCATTGCTTTCTTTGCATGGAGGGACACTTTAAATTAAGCATAAAGGCTTTTTAAGACGTAAAAAACACATTAAAATTGCTAACAATATCCATCACAATTGCTAACAATATCCATTATAATTGCTAACAATATTCATCATAATTGCTAACAATATCCATCAGCTGCTGCAGCTTGTATCCAATCTAAGAACTTGGCAACCCTAGTATAAACACCGGGGAAGTTTAACTCAGCACACCCATCCATATTTCCAGACCCAAATCCCCTAAAAAGCACATTTTTTTACATTTTTTTTCTGTTACAGAAAATCTATAATATTACTTTTAAGAAGTAATGCCATTCTTGGGCAATAACTTTGATCAATTCTAAGTCTACTTTAATTAAGGATATTTGAGTGCTGTGTAGAATCATCATCTGATCAGTGCATGTTTTACATTAACTAACAAAATTTGAAACTAATTAACACTGAAAAATCTGATTCATGATTAAAACTATCACTTTTTTGTTGAATCAAATTCTTAATGTATACCTAGAGACCACAGCCACCAGTATAGGAACCCCATTGATCCATCTGTAAACTGGACCACCACTGTCACCATTACAGGAGTCTGATCCGGAGATATAATAACTATACGGGTATTTTCCATCATCATTGAGTCCTAAAGAGCACAATCAAATCAAATACTGTTGGAGAACATTAAGGAAGTGAAATTCATGAATTTGAACTGCCTGCCCCTGGTTCGAATTTGAATCACCAATTCAAATCCTTTCTTAATCTTTAACTTTGAATAGGTGGTTCAAATTTGAACCAACAGTGTATAGCTTAGCGATGTAGTTCAAATTCATAAAATTTGGTCCCAGATTCTTTATAAGGTTTCTTTTTTATCAGGAACAGCAATCAGTTTGCAAATGTAGTTACCAAAGAAGTTCCGTTCAGTTCCCCTAAATGTAAATGATGTTCCAATTTTCTCCCAAACTTTGACTGGAGGAAAAGTTTTCTTCTTTCCGGCACACATTTCATTCATCCCAACAAACTTATAGTTTCCTCTGGTTATAAGGTCCTTACAAACACCCATTGGTAAAATCTGAAATGAAAGGTTACATCATATTTTTAACCCCCTGATAAAATACCCAAGCCAATATGGGCTATTTTACCCCAATTATTATAAGAAAAATGACCTTCTTTCTAGGACATTTTTTTTTATCTAGAACTCATATACAGGAAGCTTTAGGAAATTTTACTTACCAAGGGTTCCCAAGACCAATTTTGCTTAGACCATGAAAAAATTGCTTTAGGTTAAGTAAATTTTCAAATTACCCCAAAAATATATCACACAACTCAATTTTACCTTATTGTCCCAAGGGACAGATGGGTAACTTAACATCTAGCTGTTTGGGGAATCATTTTTCTGTAATGTTGGTGATAAGTCACTAAAAAGCAAATACCTGTAATCTTGTCTCTTGAAGTATTTTAGGTAATCTCATAGTAGAATCTAGACAGGATCAAGTTTCTTGTAAAAATTTAGAAAAAAACTTAATAATTTACCCTTATGTAGGGAACATGAGTGTTGGCACCATCCCCAGTTATCATCAAATTGATCATCAGTTGCAATTCCCTGCAATTTTTTAATCAAATCAAAATATTTGAATAATTTATTATTTATTTTTCAAGTTTGTTCAAACGAATGATTTAGAAATTTCTCTTTAGGTCAGACTGATCAATAAAATGCAAACGATCATTAACAATCCAATCCACTTCCTTCATCCACTGTAAATTTTTCTGAATGACGCCATCCCTTGCGAAAAATTTTATGTATTCACGAAAACCATGGCCATCTGTATTCCTACCTGACACCAGCCAGAATCTCCTATAGAGAATGAAAAACAGCGAGTTTTCCTTGTTCCTTCTAATATAACAATACTGGAACCAAGGGATTCTGGATATTCAGCAGCCATGGCTCTAAAAATTGACTATATTTTATGATTAACGAAACAACTTGTTAACTGAGAATATCTTAACTCTCAAATCTAAATCCTTAGTTTTGGAAATATTAAACCCCTAATGATTAATTTTTAAATATTTTTAATCTTTTAAACAGAAAATTGCAAGAGCTCTAAGATATTTATATGTACTAAATAAGAGTGTTATTTGATAAAATACCAATTCTTTATAAAAAAAGCAGAATAGATAACCTACCACTTATGCCTTTTATGCAAAGAAAGAGAACAAAACTCTAAAATAACTCTTTTGTGATATTTGAAAACTTTAGTAATATGAATCATCTAGCTGAAGTGTTGCCCGTGGAATTTTAAAACAGTTTTGATTTTAAAAAAGTCAATTTTTGAAAAAAAAGATTTTTGGAGAAAAAGAAATCAAAATATTTGTTTAGCCTTTGTTACCCTGGACCTAAAAAAATGACAGCCATTTGGTTCAGCTGTTTGGCCAGCTATAGTTGACATTTATATATATATATATATGATTTAAGAGCTTTATTATACAGATGATTGATCTTGTTTGTATAAATCTTACTGTCTAAAGTCATTGCAAAGTTGTAATTGTGAACTTGGACTCCTGGAGTTAGAACATCCAAAATTCTCATATCCTCTATAGTTAAATGGAAACATGCACTTCAGGTTTCTAACTGGACCATATTCATTGGTAGTGCAATCTGATGACATTCGGCCCCAGCCAGCAATGTATACCTCCAAGTTCTCTAGAAAGGAACTGATTGTTTGTTAGATCAGATAATCTAAGTTTGAAATATCTAAGCTTTATTCCATTAGGTTGCAAAGATCTATGGATTAGAAAATTTGAGTTTTGGCAAAAAGTCAGTTCCTTTAGAAGGTTTTAGGTTACCAACTCAGCATTTATATTTAGAGTCAAGTATATTTCTTTTCTGACAGTAGCATAAATTATATCCTGGAATTCAGAGCCAAATTTCTCAACTTTGTTTTAGATTGAAAGAAATTAAGTCTTTACCATAAACTCTGATTTTCTAATCAGTATCTTTTCTAAGATATTTCAAACTTTGAATTAAGCTAAATATTGAAGGTTTACACCATCTTGTTGTGAATAATTAGAAATTCTAATTTGTTGGAAAGACTTATTTTTCTTTGAACTCGATTGCTCAATTGACAAATTTAAATATCTGAGTAATGGAACGGATTTTTTAATACCACTACTTTATTGTGGATTAAAAGAACTAAATATCGTTTAAGCTCCTATTCCTATGGCAGTGTCACAAGTTCAAGGTATATAAGTTCCAAAACGCAATTTGGCCCATTTTCAATTCTGAGTGTTAGAAATGTTAGAAAATAATTTTATAATGGGAATTGTTGTCCTTGTCTTTCAGAATAAAATGATAATTATAGTTTTTACTGACTTTAACTTTAGAAATAGGCTGGGATCCTGAAACCCCAATCTTTCAATTTGTGCTCAATTTTAACACTTAGTGTTAGAAATAGATCATGAAGCTGTTTTGTAACAAAAATCCCCTGAAGTTCCAGAATCATAATATTTACCTTCTCCTTCTACAATATCAGATCTATCATCAGCTAGAGGTAAACAGATGGATTCCAAAACTCCAGGAATAAATTGTATATCTCTATCCAGTTTTACCAGAGCAATATCAAAAGTCATCTAGCATTTTAAAATGTCAAATAACAAATTTGGAGACTGTTTCTACTCTAAAGGGGTGCTTTAAGGTTTTCCTCCCATGGGCATTGAGAATCCCTCTAAGTGTTTATACAAGTAGGAAATATTAAATGAAAGGAAAACTTTTGTTTTATTCTTTTATGAAAATACTAAAAAAAGTAAATTGAAAAAAATCATCTAGCAATAGCATTGCTTGAAAATTAATCATTGATTTTGGCCAAAAGATCTGTCTTAAATGAAAATAAGAGTAAATTTTGAATTATGATCACCAGAGCGTATTCTGGATGAGATTTAATCTCCAAGACACCATACTCATATCGAGGATTACCTTGAAATTATGCTTTTATTAATTTAACATTTTATTCTAAATAATGTAAATAGTACTTTACAAACCTCTGAGGTCTGAACTATCAATTTGAACAACATTTCCGTTTATACCCAGGTATGCTAGGAAAAAGATAGATTTCAATTTAAGCTATGTAACACTTAAATTTTTAAAAGGAATTGAATCTTGACCACAAACTCTGATTTTCTAATATCTATATTTTTGCAATACAATTTTGTAGACCTTAGATATTTCAAACAATGAATTCTGATTTCTGATAGATCAAATAATCTGAGTTTGAAATATCAAAGTTTACACCATCAGGTTGCAAAGATATATGTATTGTACAATTTTTAATTTGTGGCAAATACTTAATTCTTTTACCTTTAAATTCCACTTTTGGATTGTATTGAGGAACTCCTTTAATACATTGTAGAACATTGCAGGTACAATGTGCTGCTGTTAACAGATACCTTAATTACATCAGATGTTGGGATTATAGAATCTATCTATATACATTACTTGTCTTAAACATCTGAACTGGTCAAGCCAAAAATACTTTAAGGCAACTCACATGACCCCAGGGAAGGTTTATAACTGGTCAAATTAAAAAAATTTTCCCTCACAAAAAGTTAAAAAAAATTATTTCTGAAAATGCACAGATTATAACAAAACAAAACTTTGTGAAATTATGATAATAGTTTAAAGTAGTGCATTTCTGAGTTCTAATCGCCCTGAATGCCATGTAAAATTTAGAAAAATTCACTAACTGTAAAAACATACCTTTTATTAATAATTGTAGATCCACATAGCATTTCAAATCTGATGAGCCAGAGTTTAGCTATCCAGGGTTTATTTTTACTCACATCATAACCACCAACAATTCGGTAATCAACTTCATCTATGCAGACTGTTATTAATTGTTTAGAATTGTTTTCGAAAAAAAATAAGAAACTTCAAAGATTTTAAAACTGTATCAAAGCTTCTTTTATGTAACTTTGCAATATCTTTGTCCTGAAAAAAAGGAAAAACAATCATGACATCCCCTTAGTTTTTGAATCGTTTTTTCTTACAAATATCTTCTGTTAGGGTCAAAATTCAAAATTGTTTATGTTAAACAATTGTTTTGAATAAAAAATAAAAAAACGTTTGCTTTTCTTACATTATGCCAAATTTCGACCTTGAAAGAAAACATAGACAAAAAACTACCCAAAAAACAAACCAACTGAAGGCAAATCACAATTTGATTATATTGAACATAGAAACATAAATGAAAAATACCTCCAATGGTAGAGTTTGTGTCTCGCTTGCGACGTTTCCTACCTCTGGCTTCAAAAGCAGCATTAATTTCAGGCTAAAAGTGTCCAATTAAGGGTACTGTAAGCGTAATTTCAAGTAATCCTCCATGCAAAGATGGCAATGCCTGTTTCTACATAACAATTCCCATAAAACTTTGTCTGATTAGTAAAAATTAGATATCAACAGTTTGTAATTTTGTAAACTGATTATTTTAAGTTGTGGTTTCTCTACAGTCTACATAAGTGACTTGCGCATTTCTACCATGCAGGAAAACAATTAAACATTTTTAAGACTAGAAAAACAACAATATCTTCCACATTAATGATCAATGTTTAAATGTTTAAGGGTGTGAATCCGGCACTGCCATTTTTGCATGGATGGTGACTTGAAATTAATCGTACAGTCCTTTTAATATAATAAAATTAGTGCCATATTCTAATAAAATCATAAAAATACTAACTTCAACTTTAGAGCACGGGCACATTTGCTTAACTAGTTCATTTTCAGCAAACACACTAAAAAAGTGTGTGATTAGGTTTAAATTATTGATAAAATTTTGAGAAAATTGATGTCAAGTTGCACTTTCATCACTGTAAACTCCGGTTCATTTCAAGTACCGGGCCGACCATTAACCAGCTAGAGCTGTACAGTACACATACAGACAATAAAAACAAATCATGACAGTACAACAAATGGATCAGACCATTCTAGGGAGATGCAAGTGTCATGATTCCTGAACTGATTTGCTATTATTTTGGACCATTAAATCTTTTTTGTTTTTTTCTTGAAAGTAACAAATCAATACAATATGTAAAAGCAATCTTAAAAAACTGCTCAAAAATGTATTTACCTATTTAGAGCACAAAGCAAAGGGACCGAAATCCAGAAAGACAGTATCATCCTTTTGTCCAATAGGATAAAATTGATCTGGTGTAATGTTACTACTGTCAATAAGATGTTTTGAAATCTATTAGTCAAGAAGGGTCTAGATATATACTAGATAAATCAGTCATCATTTGTTTTGTTTTCATCAAGTTTTTGTAATTAACACTTTTTAGCATATTTAGTGCAGTATTGGAGAGGGGTTGTAAAAATTTAAAATGTGGTTTCTATCCGTTTTATTAAACTCCAAATGTTTTAGATTCATTTTTTTCAATATTGTTGAATTTTTAAATGTTTCTTTGTTTTTTTTTGTTCTAAATGCATAAAATATTATAGCATACTTCCTTATAAAAACTAATATGCATTTATTGTTTTATTGATTATTATATGCAATATTACTGATCCACATCAAAGGATATACCTGAGACAAGTCATTCAAACAAGCAACTAATTGTTTACTACAAGAGAAGTATGAATTTATATCACTAGTTCCTTGGTTATTTTAGAATTTAAATGATTTTTCTTGTTGTTACAGATGTTGTTTTTAATACTTTGTTCACAAAAAAGAATATGATCCTTAATTACTTAATAATTTCTCATATGTTATATATAAAAACAAACATTTATTATCTTAAAATAGTTAAATCTAAATTTTACTTTGCCTTTAACTCGTGAGTTGTGAGACATTTTTCTAGCTAGAATATTTCCATTTTTTACGTCAATGGTTTACTTAAAAGTAGTTTTGTTTTTGTCTCACATGCTTCAGTATGGAAGCATTTCCTTGCAAATATAATAATGCAATATTTATTAACTAACGTTGAACCAATCTGAAAAAAATCCTGATCCCTTCTGTCTGAAATAAATTTATTTCATTTAAAAATGGTTTCCGCTAAAAATTACTTTAATGACAAAGTTAAAGTTAAATAAGGTTACTTGTTTAGAATCCTTTGTTTGCCATTTATTTACAATTTTTCCTGAATCCTGATTAACTTCTCAAAGAATTTAAACAAATAATTAATTGATATCGATATCCACACTATGCACTTTAATTTGATGATCAATGATTAATCTCTTCATTTCAGTTATTCCTCAAGGGTACGATTACCATGCGGGATATCGAATAAAGATTAAATTAATCTTCAGATTAACAAAAGATTGAGTTCAAATATTCACAATAAAAGAGTGTCCCTCCTGATCCCTGTCCTTTATAAAAAAGAGTACTTTAAGATTTAAGATGATGTCTTCATTTCAACTAAACAGACTTAAATGGCTAAAGATTGAGACAGAAACATGTTCAGCAAACTCCATCCTTGGCATTTTCTTGAATCCAATCCAGGAACTTGGCAACCCTTGTGTATATTCCAGGATAGTTTAGTTCAGCACACCCATCCTGATTATTCGAGCCAAATCCTCTAAATTGACAAAATGTGACTTAAGCTAGGTTATTGGTTTAGAAAATAAGAAGCATTTCCTTGCAAATATAATATTTATTAACTAAAAATGTGGCTTAAGCTAGGTTATTGGTTCAGAAAATAAATACAACTGCAGTCCTTTTCAATAAATATTGATAAAAATGTGACTTAAGCCAGGTTATTGGTTTAGAAAATAAATATAACTGCAGTCCTTTTCAATAAATATTGATAAAAATGTGACTTAAGCCAGGTTATTGGTTTAGAAAATAAATACAACTGCAGTCCTTTTCAATAAATATTGATAAAAATGTGACTTAAGCTAGGTTATTGGTTTAGAAAATAAATATAACTACAGTCCTTTTCAATAAATATTGATAAAAATGTGACTTAAGCCAGGTTATTGGTTTAGAAAATAAATACAACTGCAGTCCTTTTCAATAAATATTGATAAAAATGTGACTTAAGCCAGGTTATTGGTTTAGAAAATAAATACAACTGCAGTCCTTTTCAATAAATATTGATAAAAATGTGACTTAAGCCAGGTTATTGGGTTAGAAAATAAATACAACTGCAGTCCTTTTCAATAAATATTGATAAAAATGTGGCTTAAGCTAGGTTATTGGTTCAGAAAATAAATACAACTGCAGTCCTTTTCAATAAATATTGATAAAAAATGATTACTCCAAATTTTGTCCAGAATTGAATAACTCTTTAAGTACCTTGCAACAACAGCAATAAGAGTTGCAGTATCATTAATCCATCTATAAACTGGACCACCGCTGTCACCAGCACAAGAATCTGTCCCAGCAATATAATAATCATATGCGTACTTCCCATCCTTGTTCATGCCTTATAATAGAAAACTTATTTTATCTTTATATATATAAAGTAGTAATCTCTTTTTGTCTGTTTGTCTGTCCGATCATAACTAGGAAACCCTTGGACTGATTTGCCTCAAATTTTTATTGTGAAACCCAGGAGAACCACAAAAGAAATAGCTAAAAGTGTAATTCAAGACCAAGAGCGGGTCAGGAGTTACTATAAGTAACCTGGGTTGGGCTCCACAGCTAATTTTTAAATAAAAAAGAGAAATGCATTTATTTCTAAGGAGTTGAGGGACTGGAAACAATATTTTTTGCAATTATAAAACAGGACGTGTTGATAACAACCACATCTTTGGAACAAATGAACAAACAAAGTTACAACAGTTCTTTTAGAAACTGGAACAATCATAAACTAACTATACAATAAAATGTTTTCAATATTGGAAAACTTGCTTCATAATATAGATTATTGATGCCTTATGTTGTAGAGGGAAGACCTACTTTAAAAAGGATTCAAATTCAGTCTTATTAAAAAAATATGGAAATTAATTAAAATAGAAAAATCAAGCTGAAATATTCTAAACCATACTACAAGAGACTTACCAAAAAATATTGTATACAAAAAAGCAAAGTACAATATTTTAATACGATATAACGATATAACAAAACTTTAAAGATGTCAAATTAAAAAAAGTTTAAATATTTTAAAAACCTACCTAAGTAATCTGTGGTATTCCCTGCTTGAGTATACTTATCTCCCTCTTTTTTAAATATTTTTGTTGACTTGAACTTTTTCTTTTTACCCGCGCAAATCTCATTTTTACCAACAAAGCTGTATTGCCCGCTGGTAATCATATCTTTACATGTACCCAAGGGTAAAATCTAAACAGTCAGATTATGTTAATCATAAAGCCTTAGCGACCAAAAATATAATTTTCTTACTTCTAAACGAGTTTCTTGGAGGATAGGTGCAATTCTTTCAGAATCTAAACATTTAAAGGTATTTATTTTTGCAAAGCCTGTTGGAAGGGAAATTAACCTTTCTTTAGTTTGCAACCAGCTTCACACCAACCCCAATTATCATCAAATTCATCATCAGTTCCAACACCCTGGAATTATAACAAGTTAACAAAAACACAAATTTTGTAATCCCTACATCTTTGCAATTTGATGGTGTAAATCTTTGTTACTTCAAACTTAGATTATTTGATCTAACAGAACTCATAGTTTAAAATATCTAAGGTCTACAACATCAAGATATAGGGATTAGAAAATCAAAGTTTGTGGCAAAGATGCCATTTCTTTAAATGGTATTTATAAGAATCAAACCGATAGTTCATTTGATTATAAAAGAAAAGTGTAATTATTTCAAAACAGAAAGCTATAAGCTTCACATGCTTCAAAAAAGGAAAAACTGGCCGAACGGCTGGACCGAGTTGGCTAAACAACGAAATTTTTCTTCTCCAAAAATTGATTTTGCTAGAATACTATAGACCTGGCACCAACCATGTTCCCCTTTGTCAAACGCGTAGCAGGTTGTATTCTTAGTTCCATCTGTAATAATGACGGATGTCCCAGGAGAAGGTGGATATTCAGCTTTCATTGATCTTCAAAATATCAACAATTAAAATTTGTAAATTTCATATTCAGTGCTGCTAATAATGGCAGTAGGAATTAATCGTTTTTAAAAGTCAAGAATAGAGCTGCAAACGCAAATCTAAACAACTCTGAAAGTTATTCATCAATTTTTTAGAAACCGTCAACTTTGAAGAAACTTTGGTTTTACCTCACAAACTCAATTTTACTTTTTTGTAGTCCTAGACATGAAAATTTAAAAAATGCAATGGCCTTGTTTCTAGCTTAAGCTTAAAAGGAGTAATTGGAAAAATACTGTTTGACTTTTGCGTGAAAGGCACATCTTGGTTTGCAATGTAATTATCCTGATTTTCTTTCAGAAAACGATTGACTTTTACGGTTTTTTGAATTTATGTTATTAATATTGTAGACTACTTTTTATTGATAATTATCAATTTTTAAACTGCCGAATTCTGAATTTAAAGTAAAAAAGATAGAAAGATATTTTTCTGTACCTACAAAACTTTCATTGTGAAACTAATCTAGAATACTTTAAATATAAATATTTAAATAACACACATATTCTTTAATCGATCTTTAAAATTTCTATAAGTTAAGAAATGAGAGAAAAAGTTTAAATGACTTAAACAAACGATTATAAAATAACTAGATAGAAACATAATGTGTATGTCAGAAGAGAAAAAAGATTATGATGTTCAATGATAAAAGTATCTCTTTGCATGAACAGGATGGTCCTCATGATTTTTAAACTAAACGAATTATAATATTCTTTCAGAAGACCTTCTATCTCATTAATAAATGTTTATCTACATAATAAAACAAGACATTCCCATATAAGTTCCCCTACAGCCGGCCAAACGGCTGCACCGAATGGACTGACAATTTTTGAGGGAACCCCCTAAGGGTAACATGGACTTTAAAAAATTCTAAATTAAAAAAAAATCATTCCGCGGGCAACTCAGGGCACTTTAGCTAGTTATAAATAATCTTACTTTTGGAAGCTTTTACATTCTTCTATTTTAGAACTTGGACTTCTAGAATTAGAACACTCAACATTCTCCTCGTCCCTGTACTTGAAGGGTAGCTTGCACTTCAGGTTCTTTATTGGACCAAACTCATTTGTTACACAATCTGAAGAGGTTTTTCCCCAACCAGCTATATACACCTCCAAGGGTTTATCTAAAAATTTGACTTTTTTTTTATGCAAAAATCTATTGAGTCTAAAGTGCATGCTAATTTTTTTCCATTTACTGGCTTCTAATACACTGTTCAAGGTCTCAACTAATCTTATCTAATTAAAGAAGTTATCTGAGACTGCGATTTAAAAGATTAGTCTCAAGTCTAAATCTTGTATTCCCAACTGTCTGTACATGGCAAAAAAAACACTATTGCATTCAACGAGAAAATTACAGTTAGCTATATTGCAGACTCTTTACGTGGTATTGCAAAATATGTTTGTTAAAGGAAACAACATTTGCTAGAAGGAAGCAGCTATTTTTATATCTATTGGAGCGATAGCGCTTTTTTTGCAGTGTAACACTCAAAGTTAGACCTGACTTGTTAGTTCTATCAAAGGTATTTTATTTTTTTTTAAATTTGATCTTTCTCAAAGAAAAATTTGCTCCAATAGATTTCATGGCTTAATAATCTTATCTTTATCTCTATGGCAGCTTAGTGTCAAGACTAATTTTCCAGGATTATTAAAATTGCAGCCTCTGGTCTAATCACATTTTAAATTTTTACAAAGGGAAAATTAATGCAATTCGTTGGTTGTGACAGAGACTAAGTGAAGACAACGGTATTGGTTAAAAAGTATAAGCTCTAATATTTATCTACCTATCTATATTCTAATTATTTTAATTTTAATTGATTAATGTTAAGTAGTCTTAACATTTGTTATTTATAATTTAAGAAAAAGTAAAAGGCAAGATAAATATTATTTATAAAATATTACCTTCAGATGGAACATCAGACTTATCATCAGCTGTTGGTAAACATATAGGCTCAAGAACATTCGGAACAAATACAATATCTCGGTCTAGTTTTACCAATGCGATGTCAAATGAAACCTAAACCAGAAAACTTAAATGTTTTTTATTGGTTTGCCCTAAAGTTCTAGATTTGTCTTACATTGTCTAGATTTTATTCTACTTTTAGAGAATTCTTCCTCCAAAATTTTTTAATTTATTTATTATTTTTCCAAGACAAATAAGTAAAAGCCTAGCAATTCCGTTTTTTTATATTTGTTTTCATATTATCAAAGCACTTATAGACTTGTAGGGTTTTTCTTATTCGTATATTTAATATAATTTAAACAAAAACAGTTCAGGGTTATATTTAAGTTTATTTTTAAAATGGGGAAATAAAAACGTTTAAACTGGAAGTGATCAGAAATACATATTAGATTTGGTTAAAACAGGCAAAGGGATTATTTCCTGATAGTTTCACATGATTTAGATTTGCTTTCAAAGAGAATAATTAACCTTGTATTCAGGATGAGCAATTGCGCTTTCAACACCATATTCAAACAAAGGGTTTCCTGGAATAAAATATAAGATTCTTACAATAATAATGAATACAAATAATAAGAAAAATTATTATCATTCGTAATCTACCAAAACCATACTGGGATTCATTTAGTGTACCGTCCTGTTTTGCCTTATATAGTCTGTGCATACTGTACTGCTTGCTCTAGCTTTTTAAAATTCACCCAGGTACTTGAAATGAACCGAATATTACATTGAGGTTGTCAATGGTCATCTATTCAAGTTGAGCAAAGGAGGAATAAATGAAAAAAAAATTAAAGGTTTGAAGATCTGTAATTTTTGCTGCTTTTATTAAAGATTTTAGATAATAAAATTTACCTTTTATGTCAGAATTGTCTATTTTAACAGGATGTTTGTTAACTCCAAGATATGCTGAAATCAAAATAAGTTTTCAAGTATGTAGGTCTAAAGTTCAGACGTGAAATTTTTCTCTAAATTTTCAATCTTTCTATGCTAATTGCTTATTTTATTTATTAAATTAATACATTCATACTCCTTCATGTTTACAATTTCAGACAGTTTTCAAGTTTGTATGGTAGGGTAGAAGGTTATTTTTGTTTGCTGAATTAACCTAAAACTGATATTAAAACTAAACCCTTAAAACAATAATCACAGTTCCAAAATGAGGTCTGTCTATTTTGCGCTTAAAGATATCAGAATGAAGAATTTGTTTTGATTTAAATTTATTAAATTAAACTGTGATTATCTTATTTTGAACATATAAAAAACTGTAATTTTAAAATTCGGTGATGTAGAGTAAAAAAAGTAGATGGGTTCCACATTTATTGAAAATATATTTCAGTCTGGGTTAACCCTTGTCAGTTCTTGAGATTGTTTCTGTCAGGAAGATTAAAAACTTTTTCATTTTACTAAGAACTTTATCAGAAAGCCAACAAAACACAAAAAAACCTAAGTCTATACCAGATTACAATTTTCCTAGTAGACATCACCACATTTAATCAAAAATTATTTTTAAAATACGATCTCAGAGTCGACACTCAGTTCCTATGTAAGCGTGTTCCAATAAACATGGGAATTAAGTCACGACTTCTATGTTCTACCTGCCAGTTCATCCTTGGCTACGTAATCCGGTTTTCCTGCAGTACATTTTAGAACCTTACATATACAGTGACCAGCGGTTAACAAGTATCTAGAAATATACATAATTAAAGTGTATTTAAAAATCACATTTCTGATTCACATCTTGAACATTGATCGTTGATAAATATTCCGAGAATTGACAAGTGCAGTTTCTCTATTCGAGTAACTTGGGGATATACAGGGGGTCCCACATAATTTATTGCGATTTTCAGGGCAAATCAGAAGATTTAAAAAGATTTAATCATTCAAGAAAATTGTATAAAGCTAAATAAAAATGTGCATGCAGAAAATCCTAGTTTTTTCATATGTTAACTACGTATTTTGGCTTTAAGGTAAACCTTTTATTAATGACAGTTGATCCACACAAAAATTCACTTTTCTTCAACCAGAGTTTAGCGATCCAAGGTTTAGGGTTCTCTGCAGCATATCCTCCAACAATTCTGTCCTCGGGTCCCTCTGCAAAACACAGTTTTTAGTAAACCATATATATTAGGACCAATACAACTGTGGAATAGAAATACGACTGTGAGACTCAAGTTATGATCTTCAATAGTCCTATGCACATGGAAAACAACAATTGTGCAGTGTACACAGACCCACTTGATAAGTTGATTTTCATTTCACTGGTAAAGCTTGTTTTCTAATACATTAGAAGATTCCTGAGATGTCGTCCTCCTATTCCACAGTCTTATGGGTCCCTCTGTAGAAACAAAAGTATTTCTATTTTTTTGATTGGCCTTTTATGATTCAAAGCTATGATAATTTGTCATATTTCATGTTTATTTTTCTTTCTGAAAACTGATAATTTGGGCCCTTTCCTAGCTTATTTTTTTGTGAAACGCCGCATCAGGATAACATCAATTTTTAGATTTAAGGGAATGAATAAAATTTGACTATTTTTACGACACTTTTTGACTAGGAAATTTATAAAAACAATCACTCAGAAAATCAAAGAAAAAAATTGAATACTTTGACTTGTTTTAACGATTTTTAAATTTTATGCTTTTGGTTTATTTTAATTTAAAATTAAATGCTTTTGGTTTATTTTAATTCAAAATTTAACGCTTTTGGTTTATTTTAATTCAAAATTTAATGCTTTTGGTTTATTTTAATTTAAAATTTGGCGTTGATGATGTTCCAAACCTCACAGAGTAAAAAAAGGTGTTAGTTCAACAATTTTTGGTAATATAATAATTTAAAATTTTTTCAAATTGTTAGACTAACCTGACTCTGTACTTCTTTTATGCCTGGATGCATGTTTGGCCTCAAAAGCTGCATTAACCTCTGGCTATGAAAGATTCAATTAAAAAAATTTTAATTTAAAAAGATAGTTTTTTGATCTTATTACTCTAATGTACCAATTATCAACTAAACTGTGCTTAAGCATTGTTTTTAATTAAAATTTACTTTAGTTCGACTGCCAACTGAACTATACTCAATTTCAGTTACCAAATAAACTCCACTTAAGTTGTTATCAACTGAAATATACTTGAGTTCAGTTACCAACTGAACTAAACTTAATTTCAGTCACCTGCTAAACTGCACTTAAGTTCTGTTACTAACCAAATTATTCTTAAGTTCTGTTATTAACTAAAGAATGCTCAGTACTTATATAGTCCTGTAACTTTCTTAACTGTATTTAAGATCAGTTACAAAATCCACCTAACTTAAGTTCAGTATTTCACTATACTTCAGTCCAGCTAAATAACCTGACATCATAATCATATATATGTTCTCAACTAAACACGACCAGCAATTACATTTAGATTCTTTAACTATATTCTTAAATATGAAATATGAAGAAAAAACTTACTTTGACTTTTGAACACTCGCACATTTGCTTTTTAAGTGTGTTTTCTCCTGCTGTTCTTAACATTAATTTTTTAAATTGTTAAAAAGATAAAATTTTCCGTTTTCAAATTTACCATATTTAAATTATAACAGGCATTTTGGCAAATGTAAAAATGGCATTGTTGTTAATCGTTTTTAAAAACGATCGTTTTTATTTTGTTTTTCTTTTCTTTTTCTAAAAACGATTGTTTTTGAAAATGAACCATTTGTTTTGAACCTACAAAAAGCGAAACACGACTGATTTTGAAATGATTTTGCTAATGAATTTGAGTTTTTTGACAATTAACTGAATTTTTTTCAGAAAGATAAGGGAATGAATGTTGTCTTAAATGTTTTTTTTTTATCGAGAGAAAGACCCTGAATGTTTTAATACCTCAGATTTTCTGACCAAAAAATGTATTTTTTCCTATAAAGGTCGATAACGATCGTAAACCAAGGGCGTTGTTAACATTCGCTAATGAAGGATTGTCGTTAACGGTCGTTAACAAAGGGTCGTTTTCAAAAATGTTCGTTTCGTTTTTCGTTTTCCTTTTCAATATTATACTTACAGAGTTACAGCTGCGAGGAAAAGAAACAGAAAATTTGGCCAAAATGAACTTTGAATCATGTTGATTCAGATTCCTGTAACACTGAAAATTCCTCATTCTTATTTGAATCTGATTTAAAGAAAGGGTGATTGAAAATAAATATTTTTTGCATCACTTCATTTGTGGAAAACGAGGCAGTAAGCTTTGGTAAATTCAAAGATTTTTTTACTAATGATTAAAATATTATATTTATATATATTTATATATTTTAATGAGAGAAATATAATATATTTTGTTTAAATGAAGTGAAGGGATCATATTTCTTGAAGTTAGAACCACATTTTCTCATTCACAACATTTTATTATATCTGTCAAATTTGTATCCGTCTAATTGTATCTGTCTAAATGCTTATCTTCCTAAATGTTAGGTAGTCTGTCTGAATATATGTCAAACTGTCTATAAATCTGTCTAACTGTATAGCAGTCTATCTGTCTATCTGTCTAACTGAATATCTGTCTAATCATACATATCTTTCTAAATGTGTGTTTGTCTAATCGTATAACCATCTATCTGTAAATCTGTAAAAATGTGTCTAACTGTACATCTGGCTATTTGTATATTTTTCTAATTCTATATTTTTCTAATCCCAACACGTTTCTTTGGGCACAGCATTGCACTTCATAGAGTACACTTATTCACAATGGATAACATTGCAGACAGGATTGTTTATAAGGTTGCATTCTCTAACCTTCTCCTTAGAGCACTCACAGACAGTTTCAGTAATGCACTCTCGGCCAGTTTGGCATTTTTTGACACTCTCAGAAGAGCCCACTCTTTCAGAGATAGTATTCCACATTTGTTCACACTGTCTTCTACATTGCCGGACATTCTCAACCTTCACTAGTGATCAGTTATAATGTTGCACTCCTTCTCCTGGGTGATCTTCTTCACGGACTTCTGCACACTATTGCACTCCTTCTTGGGGTTAACATACCAATTGTTCCTCAGCTCAATCTGACACTCATCTTTTCTCTTGGTTTCTGTCTCCTAGTCTATTTCGGGATTTAGACATATTTGATCTAATTCATCTATTATTTTCATATTTGGTTCTTTTATAATTATGTTAGGTTCCTTTACTTTTGTCCCAGTTGCATTCTCCTTGTAACTGTAATCCCTTTCTATGTTGTCATCCATGTTTACATCCCTCTCTAGAAATGTGGTGGTGGAAGGGTTGGAACCTGTTTTTTACAGCTGGAGTACTTTATCTTAATCCTTTCTTATCTTCTTGTTGTCTCTCTGAACTTTCTGACTGATTCTCTAGAACTGGATAAACTTTCCTGCTGTCCTAGCTGTGTTGTTCTAACTCCATATTCATTCATATTGCAACTTTGGGGCTGACATACATAGTTGTCGGTTTATTTGACCTTTTTGGATTTTTATTTATTCCATCTCCTAATGAGTGAGGTAGATTTCACAAAGAACTCTGCACATTATTCCAATTCCTAAACCTCTTCGATATATTCAGTTAAACAGCCTTGATTTTCCTTCTTTATAAATTTCTATTATCTCCTCGATTTTTCTCTTCTTTGGTAACTTATTTGGTTCTTCGATTTCTCTTCCTTTATCTTGTTTCCTCTGTATTTCTTGATCTTGATTTCTTTTTTTCTGACCTCGTTTTCGGCCTCGGTATTTGCTTCTCTGCACTCAGACTCAGTTACACTCCTGCTGCTTTCATTATCATCGCTTTTGTCTTCAACAGAAACATCTTTATCGTGGAACGTTCTTGATACTTCTTTTGTTTCTGGTGCTCTTCTTGATCTTGGCGCCTTTCTTGTTCGTGACGCTCCTCTTCTGTAGAATAGGTTGATTCTAGCATATATTCGTTTCCTCTAATGTTTTTTCCTCACCTTCATGACCCTTTATGTATACAGCTTGTATACTGCCTGACAAATTATAATCATTTTCTTGAAGTACTAAATCTCAGGCTGCTTCTTGATATTCTGCAGGTAGCATTGATTCTATAAACTCCTCATCTTTCCAATTCTCCTCTACTCGTATTTTCATAAATTTAGCACTTCCCGTAGGGATGGACACTTTCTCTCTTACTTCTGGTATATGTTTCATAGTAGTGGGATCAAAAAGGATTTGCTCCGCTTTTTTTCCCATTTCATTCATAATTGGGGGCAGAGAGTCTGTCACATTACATAACCAGGTTAATATTTCCTGACTTATACTTCTAGTTACTAATTTCGCTTCTTGTTCTGAACAGGAAATTGTTACTTCCTGTTTAACTAACTTTTCCGTGTCCGAATCACTGCATGATTTAACTTTTTAATGGGTTTCACTTCAAAAACTCGATCTAACCTGCAGTGTATAAACTTGATCTTTTTCTCCTTCTACCATAGCTCTTCATCAATTAAAATGGCTTCAATCATAGCTTTATCATCATTACTCAACAGCCTATCTATATAAACTCGATCTTTTTCTACTTCCACCAGAGCTTTCTCTTCATCACTCAACATGTATTCCACTTGATCTATCCAATCTAGATAGACTCTGTGTTTTTCCCCTTCAGGTTCATCAAAGCGGAGTATTATTCCAACTGACTTTTATTTAGAGCTCTATGATACAGGTTAAGTCAATGAACGTAATCACAAGTTTTACCTCGTTATCTACAAACACAGTTAGATTAATCACAGTACAAGTTTTACGTAGTTATTTACAAGCACAGTTAGATTAATCACAGTACAAGTTTTACGTAGTTATTTACAAGCACAGTTAGTTATTGATAAGCAAAGTTATAGGTTTAATCGCAATAAAGGTTTGACGTAGTTAGGTTACAATGTACAATGTACTTTATCTAGGTGTTTTTAGGTTTATAAATATGTAAATCTGTCTAACTGTTTATCTGACTTTTCTGTCTATCTACCTAAATTCGGTTCATGATCTGTATATTGTATAATATTGAATGACATTCCTTAAAAACAAGCATTAGGAAGAGGTAAGATTTAGATAGATAAGGTTAGATAAGACAGGGTATGATGGTTGGTCACAATGGATAAAAACTAAAACTACAACATAAGGCTTTCAACACTTTTTCCTCATGTATCCAATGAATTGTTTAGGAGTGTAGAAGAAAATAACGATGGTTAATTTTAAACTAACAAATTAAATTATAAACATTGGGATGAGAAAGATGGGCTTTTCATGAGAATTGTGCAAGAAGTTAACCTCTAAAATAAACGATTTGCAAAAACCTTGCGAAAAATAAACAAAATTACTACAGGAGCTGGGTTTAACCCCATATTTGAGCATTCTTTGACCCACCGAAAAAAATTGCGCGGACATGTTAGAATTACAGTTGGACGTCTATACTTGATTATTTTACTTTCAAAGTTAACGAAAAATCTCTTCTTAGATATATGCTTATATTTTCGTATATAACGAAGAGCGTCGATATAAAATTGTACGATGTATGTCACATAAAACTAACATCAACTCGAAGTACATCATGTCTGCAAATCAATATATTTTCATCACATTTTGATCTCAATTATTATTGATAAAAAATCCGCAAAAATATCCTAAAAGACCTTGCATACTTAAAAATACATATGGGACATACTTTTGCTAGTATGTATTATTGAGCAGACAAATATTCTTAGCTGAAGTAGCTACCGTTGGATTTATGGTCAGCCCGGGGGGACAATCACAGCTGGTCACGGCTCAATCAGGGTGTACGCAGTGGTCAGACTTTATTCCCGCATTTATTGGTGTCTTGTGTCAGAGTTCATGCACCTCATCATTACACCGTATTCAACAATTTACATTCAACTTTTACTTCATTATTAAAACAGGACATAATTAATTGTTTAGTTTGTTTGAGATCTAGAATTTCTATTCGATAAATTATTTTACGAAATGCAAAAATGAAGCGAAATGGTTGCGAAAAAAAAAACTTTTTGAGAAACGATTTTTCTTTTCCTTGGTTAGACCCTATGCACAATGTATGCATTACACACAAAATTTTTTTTACGTATCAAAAAGAAAACAGTTTTTTTTTCAAAAAAAACCTTCAGTAGTGTCATTCAATTTCTTGCTGGTTAAAATCTTTAAGAATTTACATTATACTTTGAATATTATCAAAACAGGACACAAAGATGTTTTTTAGTTTAATTATCTAAATAATCTATTTCGTTAATTGCACTGCAAACTAGCCAGGAGGGGAAGGTCAAATTCATTTTAAAATTATTGGTTCGACTTTGTGACCTCGTTCCTTCTCTAATTCTGATTTTACGCACAAGAAAAGCAAATGTATTCGGTTTATACATATTATGAATTCCTGTTCTTCTCAGTAGCTCTTCAATAAGATGAGTTATGACACAAAAAAAACATATAAGATTTCAATCGTCCGTGCATTTTACTTTAGTTTAACGTAATTGAGGATGCAATTTTTTTAAATCATATTTTACATTTCTCTAAAATTTCAAAAATATTCTTTCCAAAAACCTTCAGTTGTGTCATTGAATTCTCTGCTGGTTTAAATGTGAAAATTCATTGTTTTAGGATAAAATAAGTTCACGGTTTTAACCAAAAAACTGTTTTTAACGCTCTCTATCTGGTCCCAGTGTTTGAGTTCTAAAACCCGGAAAATTTGTCCGCGGCAAAAAGTAGGTCCAAGGTCAGCCATTTTGGAAACAACCGTGATAACTGACAATGTTAATAATCGCAAATAATGACAAAACGTTTTAGATTGCTTTCCTCTTGGCGTAGGGGTCTAGGCGAGTAACTCATTAATAAAAATTGAAAGGAAAACCATTTTTGAATTGAAGGTAACATCATTTTAATTGTTCTTTTAATATAAGAGAGTGTAATTCAATTCACAGCAAAACGTGAATCACAAAATATTGCTCATCTTGAACGAATTTTGTTCTTAAAAAGTCGCCACTACAGGATATATTGATTGAAGGATGGAAATTACTATATTTATCATTATTTTGTAAAGAACTATGACAATATTAAGATTAGAATTTGACCATTTCTATTGCCAAAGCGAATTATGTTAAAAGAAAATTAGTATTCTCTTAAAATTCATTTTCTTAATCTGGTTTTAGATAATGTTATGAATC